CAGGGGAGGGGAAGAGGAGAGAAGTTTTCAATAGGCTGAGTGTGAGGGTCTGTGGGTGTTAGATGATTTTAAGGATCGACTGTTCATTTTGCTGGGTATGATAATAGAATGAAGATATAAGTATAAAATTATAATTAGCTGGGCGCCTGGGGGGCTCAGTTGGTTGAGGGTCCAACTTCGGTCAGGTCGTGATCTCGCAGTTTGTGAGTTCGAGCCCCACGTCGGGCTCTGTGCTGACAGCTCCGAGCCTGGAGCCTTTTTCAGATTCTATGTCTCCCTCTCTCCCTGCCCGTCCCCCACTTGTGCTCTGCCCCTCTCTGTCTCCCCAAAATAAATGAGAAACATTTTTAAAAATTGTAATTAGCAGTTAGAGCTAATTCTCCAAATGAGGTGATGTAGGAGACTACTTTAAAAGAGTCTAGTGAAGGGGCACCTGGGTGGCTCAGTTGGTTAAGTGACTGACTCTTGATTTCGGCTCAGGTCATGATCTCACGGTCGTGAGACTGAATCCCATGTCAGGGTCTCTGCTGACAGTACAGAGCCTGCTAGGGATTCTCCCTCTCTCTCTGCCCTTCCTCTGCTCTCTCTCTCTCAAAATAGATAAATACACCAAAAAAAAAAAAAATACTCTAGCAGACTCTTAAATACAGAGAACAAACTGAGGGTTGCTGGAGGGGGTGTGGGGGGGTGGGCCAAATGGGCAAGGGACATTAGGGAGGACGCTTCCTGAGAGGAGTGCTGGGCGTTACACATAGGGGATGAATCACCGGAATCCACTCCTGAAATCACTACAGCAGTAGATGCCAACTAACTCGGATATAAATTAAAACATAAATAAACAAATAAAAATTTAAAAAGTAAAGAGAAAGTAAAGAAAAAACACTAGCAAAAAAAAAAAGCACAGGGAAGGTTGGGGATGGAGGAAGTTAGAACGGCAACAAACTGATAGTTGTGGCAGCTGGGTGATGGGCCCATAGGGTTCTCTGTACTCTTCGCTCTATTTTTATGTAGGCTTATAATTCTGATGATGATGAAGACAATGACTATGGTGGCGATGCTCAGGGAAAGAGGAGGAAGGGCACAGAAGCTGGCTGTGAAGGAAAGAGGTGAAATTGTGCCATGGCTAGGAGAAGCAGAGGGACATAAAGGAATTTTGTGTAGTTGGTTTTGTTGTTTTTAAAATAAATTTTTAAGTGTTTTATTTATTTTTAAGGGAGAGAGGCACAGCGCGAGTGGGGGGAGGGCAGAGAGAGGGGGGAGACGGAAGCGGAAGCAGGCTCCAGCTCAGAACCTGCTGTGGGACTTGGACTCACAAAGGGTGAGATCGTGACCTGAGCTGAAGTCGGACATTTAACCCACAGAGCCACCCAGATGCCCCAGTTTTGACTTTGGTTTTAAAGACGAGATATTGGAGCATGTTGATCGGCCGAGGGCCAAGCGCCAGTGAAGAGAATGTACAACCCAGCCATTGCCCCAGAACCGCTGCATGATAAGGTGTCCTACAGCACAATGGCTCGCAGTCGTTTATGGCCAAGATGTATAGATAGGCACAGGGTTAGCTGATAGGCGGATCGGCGCTCCGCTCGGCTGGGATGACTCAGCTTTGTTCTTCCTGTCTCCCTTCCCCCTTGCCAGGCTAACGCAGAAACGTCCTTGTGGCAACGGCGGAAGCCTACGAGAGCAATACACAAGGTGTCTTGTGTCCCAAGCTTGGAACCCTCACACTGTCACTTACAACTTCCAAGGCCAACGCAAATCACACAGCTAAGCTTAGTGTGGAGGAGAGAGAAAACATCTCCAGCCCCCTTCATGGGGGAAACAAAGTCCCATGGCAAAGAGTGGATAAAAAGCAGAGGCTGGTGAATGCCATTGTTTAGCTAGAACAGGTATAACAGGTCTCTGCTAACCTTTCGGCTTGACCTACAAGGTACATCTTCTTATCCCTTCCAGGCTGATGCTGTTTGGGCTTGGGGGGAAAGAGCCTGGACATCAGGCGGACCTAAGATTCTCTTTCAGGAGTAATTAGCCATGGGGAGATAAAGGGCCGGATTATGTAAGGTCAGGGCTGCTCCTGTTGAGCCAAAGCTTTTGGAAAAACCTCAGGTAGAGGGGCAGAAGCTCAGAGTCTTATAGAAGAGGTGATCTGTAGAGAAGAGTGAAGAGACATGTAGCCCAGAGACCTGGGGCTGAGGGCATGAAGCCTGGGAGAGAAAGGGGAAGGGGAGGGAAAAACACATGCACACGCAGACACGTAGATACACAGGTGCACACACAGGCACACACATACACGGGAAAGCAGTCGTTTGCTGGAGTAGCCTGAGAGAGGCCTGGAGAGGGGCTAAGGAGGAGAGCACACCCAAGGAGCCACAGACTGAGAAACAGACGGAGATGGTTGTAACCTTAGGAGGTCTTTCTGCAGTCAGTGCAGAGAGATTCCCTTGAACGCTTAGCCTACATCTCTTTTCACATAGATTAGTTTGAGTGGGATTACGTTCCTTGCACAGAAAATCTCTGTGGTGAAAATGTTCGTGCCGAACTTTTAAGATTTCACATCGGGGCGCCTGGGTGTCTCAGTCGGTTAAGCGTCCGACTTCAGCTCAGGTCATGACCTCACGGCTGTGAGTTTGAGCCCCCCGTTGGGCTCTGTGCTGACAGCTCAGAGCCTGTAGCCTGCTTCGGTTTCTGTGTCTCTTACTCTCTCTGCCCCTCCCCTGCCCACACTCTGTCTCTCTCAAAAATAAACATTAAAAAATTAAAATAAAAAAGATTTCACACAGTGGTTCATGGCTGTGCTCGTGTAACTAACAAATAACATTAGCACTCAGCATATGCAAGTCACCTCGCTACCAAGGATTCAAAATATGATCCAGACTCTGCCCTTATGGAGATGAAATCAAGATGGGGAAACAGGAAATTATATACCTGAATAGTTCCAAGATAGTCCAGCCCATTTGAAAACTGTCTACTCAGTGCTACAGAAGGAAAGGGTTGGAGAAGCTCAAAGGCAGAAAAGGTGGGTGGGGGTTTCAGTAATTAAGGAAGGCTTATCGGGAGAAAGTAGAACCTTATCTGGGCTGAGAGTTGTGTCCAGAGTAGGAAGGTGATTGGCGAGGGGCTGAGCTCAGGACCCCCATTTCCCACCTGCGTGCTGTTACCTGAATTGCAGGCATAATTGCTAAGAGGACAAAGAAGGCTTTGGAATCGCCAGTCTTACACATTTAAACTCGCAGAATCTCAGATGGTTTAGGGAGATGATGCTGGCAGCCGCACGAGAGGCCGTTTCGGGTGCCTAACCCAGAGCACAGAAAAGCCAGACAGAGCATGAGGGGAATGGACATGGTGGGTATACAAGTCAGCGAGGCCAGTAACGGGCAGAGGAATAGGAGGACCCGGGACTCTCATTTCACAAGTGTGGGTGGGGTCTGGTAAGATTGTCTGACTGCTTGATGTTAAAGTAAAAAAAAAATGCACTTGTCTTTTGGAAACGTGGGACGTGGGAAAAACACACTGGGGAGCAACGGATCTAGGTGTTCACAGGAAAAAAAGAGAAGAAATAAAGGCACAGCCTGGATCCTCTCAGCTGCTTAACACCCAGTGTTGCTGGGAAAACTGAAAGTTGGTGGTCAACGGGCCTGGCACAGGGGCATGTAATACATGGGACCGTCAGTTCATGCAGCGTCATGCATTCCAAAAACGACGGTAATAGGTGGGTATTAACAGTCCACTTGAAAGGTGAGAAAAGAGATTCAAAGAGCCTTATGAATACAGTTGGAATCCAAAGTTAAGTGACAAAGTCAGGCACAGTGGGCCGCCCTCCTGTCACAATACATCCCGGGCACAGGGCTGAGCACGAAACCGTGGGGGCGGAGCTAAGAAGGTGGGAAGAATAAGAGAGGTCAAGGTCAGGAAGGCAGGAGAGCCATGGGCGCACCTTATGGGGTCAGGAAGGTACCCACGTGCCTGTGGCACACGGGGGTGGGGGGTGAGGGGCAGAAAGCCAGAAGCAGCACAAAGGAAACCATGTGAGACCCTGGGAGATGGCAGACCCAGGGACTGTGTGGCCTTGTCCCATGGGGCGGGGCCAGAGCGCAATCAAGAAAAGCAGCAGGTGGACCCGCTTCCCGGACGCCCTCATACAGTCCTCACGACACCGAGGCAGGCGTTAGGATCACCATCTTCACGGCAAAGACGGCGGACCGAGCTCAGGCGTGGTGAGGACCCCAGCTCAGCGCCGGCCCGCGAGCCCGGAAACCGCACTTGTCTGCAGAGACCCGTCGCCACCTTCTGAGAAGGACCTGCTCAGGGATTTGCAGTGATGCGCGGTGTGAACATCAGACCATCCCTCCTGTCCCTGTTACCCGCATCCAAGGACACCCTTTAAACATGTGATCCTGGTAAAACCTGGACACCTGTAGCCGTTCAAGCCTCCGAACAGCGCTTCTCAAATCTGAATGTGCGTCACTCCACCCGGAGACGGCTCCGGTTCGGGGAGGTCTGTGGTTCTGACTGTATCGGTGCTGCGGGTCCGCAGGCCACACTCGGGGCAGCAGGGCCTTAGGGCACTGGTTCCCAGTTTCCTGAGCCCCCGGAACCCCTAGGGGGTTCCCAAACCTTCTCATTCCTGTTTCCCGTCCCCAGAAACTGTGGCTTATCTGGGCCGGGGCATGCTCTGGGCTGGTGATTTGTAAGGGATCCTAACGTGCAGACGAGATTTGGAACCAAGTATGCAAGGAAATCTGTCCATAAAAACGAGAAACCAATAGTGTAATTTAACTTAGGCACGGCTGGTGCTTTATGGAGTGCGGGGGGGACGGAAAGCTGGTCACACGGATCAGCAGCACCGCGCTGCCTCCGCCGGGAGGCCGGCTCCTCCCTGCCGTCGGGCAGGAGTGCCTTTTCCTGGGGAAGGGAAGGGGTGGGGCCCGTAGGCCCCGCGCGCACGCCCCACCCTAAGTGGGTGGGCGCGAGCCGGCGAGCACGGCTTCCCGGAGCATGCGCAAATGCGGCAGCGCGGCGCGGGGCGGGGCCTGCCTTCCGCGCGCGCGCGCGCCGGCGCTGCAGTCCCGCCCCTCCTGCGTCGCGCTCCCGGAAGTACGGCGAGGCCGCGCGCGGGAGGCTCCGGGAGTGGAAGGAGCTGGGCGCCCGCGGCGGCGGCCGCGCGCAGCCGTTCGTCGCACCTGGCTCGGCACGTGGCCGAGCGCCGGCCCAGGCGTCCTGGAGCCGCTGGCGTCCTGGAGCCGCAGGCCTCGGTCGCCGAGGCGGTGTCGTCCCTGACCATCGCCGACGCCTTCACCGCGGCGGGCCAGAGCCCCGCCCCGCCGCCCTCCTCGCTCAATAGGAGGTTCATCTGCTCCTTCCCTGACTGCAGCGCCAATTACAACAAGGCCTGGAAGCTAGACGCCCACCTGTGCAAGCACACGGGGGAGGTAACGGGGCGCGGGCCGGCCACGGAGGGTGTGGCGTCCAGGCGCAGCGGCTCGGGACGGGGTGGCCCGCCAGGTGGGCAGCGCCCCCGAGGCCCGGGGCAGCACGTGGCTGCACCCGCCTTTGCAAGACAGACACAGTCTTGGCACCCGGATCACAGGGGCGCACCAGCTCCGCCTGAGGTTCGGGAGGGGCTGGCAGAGGTAGACAAGTTCTAAGACCGAGGCGGCCTTGCCGCGGAGCACCCCGAGCCGCTTTGATCCTTTGCCGCTTCTCCTTTGATCTTGAGTCTTGGTCTGTCACCACCTCCTGGAAATCTTTTTTTTTTTTAAGTGGGTTTTTTTTTTTAATGTTTTATTTATTTCTGAGAGAGAGAGAGAGAGAGAGACAGCAGGGGAGGAGCAGGGAGAGAGGGAGACACAGAATCTGAAGCAGGCTCCAGGCTCTGAGCTGTCAGCACAGAGCCCGACGCGGGGCTCGAACCCATGAACCATGAGATCATGACCTGAGTCGAAGTCTGACGCTTAGCCGACTGAGCCACCCAGGCGCCCCTTGAAATAGGGGCGGAGGAAAGATTCGTTTACTCGCATGCTTTCTACGCCCCCCACCCCCAGCAGGCACCTGCCTTGATCCCTGGGCTCCTGGCACGGGCCTGCGTTCATTCAGTCATAATTCTGGAGCGAGAGTCGTCAGCCAAACAGAAGAGGTTTCTGCTAACCCGACTTGATCCTTTAATTGGGACAAAGGAAGTAGGAATGAGACGCAGTAAATCGAGGGCTCCAGGAAAGGTCTCTTTTGACCTGAATGAGAAGGAAAGTGATCCAACCTTGCAGACTCAGGGAAAAACAGTCTGGGCAGAAAAAACTGCCGAAGGAGCTGGTGATTGAGCGTGATTGGCCTGTGATGGAATGTGATTGAGTTGGGGATCGTATAAGAGGAGATCTGAGAAGCAGGTCTGGTGGGATCATTTGTAGGCCAGGGTCAAATAGGGCTTGGAGTTTGGGTTTTATTTTGAGGGCAATAGGAAGCCTTTGGAAGATGAGTAGGGGCAGGGAAGGAAGTTCATGGAGGCCAAGGAATCTGCCCGGTTTCCCAGGGTTTGGCAGAGCCTGGCTTGACCCTGCCTCAGCTAAAGGCCCTTTAATTCTTCTTCTTCTTTTTTTTTTTAATGTTTATTTTTGAGAGAGAGAGTGTGATCAGGGGAGGAGCAGAGAGGGAGGGAGACACAGAATCCGAAGCTGTCAGCACAGAGCCCGACTTGGGGCTCGAACTCTCAAGACCATGACCTGAGCCCAAGTCTGACGCTTAACTGACTGAGCCAACCCCCTGAAGGCCCTTTATTCTCAATCCTGAGACCGGCAGCCCCTGCCTTTGCTCCAACACCTACCTAACTTCCAGGCTGTTCACACTGCTCCTCTCTGCCTGGGCTCTACCCATGCCCCCAGCTGTATGGCCGGCTTGCCCAGGGACCAGCTCCGCTTAGAGCATCCAGTATGTTCTGCTTCCCTGTCCTCTCCCTTGCCCATCCTGCCCCTCAGCTTCTGGGTTCTGAAGCCAGGAAGGCTGGTGAGAGAAGCCTGTGGTCACTTTCATGTCCCTTCCTGAGGACCCCTGGGGCCACGGGAGCCTCCTCTCCCTTCTGTGGGTTACCCCCAGAGCCATGGCCCAGGGGAAGGATAGATTGTGTCCTTGGGGTATGGGAGCAGTCACCCGGTGACCCCGCTCTCTCAACTGCACCTCTTGCAGACCATAAATTGCACTCCTTTTTATTTTTTATTATTTTTTTAAATGTTTTAATTTATTTTTGAGACAGACAGAGCATGAGACAGGGAGGGGCAGAGAGACAGGGAGACACAGAATCTGAAGCAGCTCCAGGCTCTGAGCTGTCAGCACAGAGCCCGACACAGGGCTCGAACCCATGAACGTGAGATCATGACTTGCGCCGAAGTCGGAGGCTCAACCGACTGAGCCACCCAGGCGCCCTTGCACTCCCTTTTAAACAACAACATCAAAAAAAAAAAAAAAGAAAGAAAAAAGAATCACAAATACTGTGCAAAGTTCTGTGGCTCTTCGGCTGGTAATACAACTCTTCTGTCTGCCCGCCTACTTGCGCTGCTACTAGTACTGACATTTGAGGCCATGGTACCTCCCTCCCAACTGCCGGGGGGCTATGGTTTTCATAGTTAAATACACAAAACTGGTTATTTGGGGGATGTGTTTTGACTTTTCCTATAGGTTCAGAGTGGACACCCCACAACCCCCTTCCCCCCACTACCAACTCCGGGGTCCCAAGCAGGGGTTACGGTGAGGCTGTGAGCATTTTCTGTAGGGGGCCGGGCACTGTGTTAGCACCGACTCTGGGTGGGTCCGGGATGAGGGAGCCCACACGTTCGGTGGGTAAGAACATCTCGGTGGTGGAGATGTGTGCATATCGGCCAGAGCGGACAGGTCACCTCTAAGGGTTGCTGTTGGCGCTTGCCATCTGGGTGGGAGCCGGCTACTGGTGCTGTTACTGGGAAGGCCACCCACTCTCACGTGCTGTTCACAGAGCAGAATCTACGGCATCGACTTCGTGGGGATGTTGTGGCATTTGTGTAACTTACCGAGTGGAAGCCGTCCCTGCAGAGCTAAAACGTCCCCTCCACACTCTACGTCTTTAAATAGGACCAGAGACAGTAGCGAGGACAGGATCAACGTGTTTTTTTCTTTCCTTCCTGCTAGCGACCCTTTGTTTGTGACCACGAGGGGTGCGGCAAAGCCTTCGTCAGGGACTACCATCTGAGCCGCCACATCCTGATTCACACTGGGGAAAAGCCCTTTGTGTAAGTAGAGGACAGTTTTTTGGCCTTTGAAGGGGTTGGTTTCGGCATATCGACCTGGGAAGAAGATGCACTGTCAACGTCGTGCGGTCCAGAGTGCACAGCGCCCTTCATTTGCACCTCCTGGTATAAGAGGAGACTGGGGTTTGAACGTGGGGAAGAGAGGAGGGGCCGGTGGGTCATTTCGAGGGCTTCAGGAATGAGCTTATCTGAAGGTCCCAGCAGTTTGCATCGTCTCCTCTCCCTTTAAAGTACGTACTCAGTGGGAGACGCACCTCGGAAAGCACTCCGTTCAGACCAGATGGGGTCGTGGCTCCGCATTGACCGGGGTCTTTATGAGCCAGTAAGCGGCTGGGATAAGAGACAGAAGCATACAGAGGTAGAGCTTTTGAGAATTTATCTTGTATTTCTTCAGAGTAAGCCGCTTCACTTCTCGCATACGAGGCTTAATTTTATTTCCATTGGAGCTGCTGCTGATCTAAACGGGTGGAGGTATTGCTTGTCTTAAATCAGCTTCTTTAGATGCTTTCTTTTTTTAAGTTTTTAAACATTTTTTTTTAGTTTTTACTTTTTTACATTTGTTTATTTTTGAGAGACAGACAGACTAAGCGCAAACAGGGGAGGGCAGAGAGAGAGGGAGACACAGAATCTGAAGCAGGCTCCAGGCTCTGAGCTGTCAGCACAGAGCCCGATGCGGGGCTCAGACTCACAAATCGGGAGATCGTGAATGAGCCTCGTTGAAGTCAGACTCTTAACTGACTGAGCCTGCCAGGCGCCCCGGAATTCATTCTTTTGAAAATTGCCATGTTTCAGGCCTCTGTGGTAAAATAGATTTTTGTACTTAAAAAATTTGTTTTTAACATTTTAATTTATTTTTGAGAGACAGAGACAGAGCACAAGCAGGGGAGGGGCAGAGAGAGAGGGAGTCACAGAATCCAAAGCAGGCTCCAGGCTCTGAGCTGTCAGCACAGAGCCCGCCCGATGTGGGGCTTGAGCTCTCAAACCGTGAGATCGTGACCTGAGTTGAATTTGGAGCTTAACTGACTGAGCCACCCAGGTGCCCCTGAATCAGCTTCTTTAAAGCAGTGGTTCTCAAATGTAGGGAGCATGAGAGTCCCCTGGAGAGCTTGTTAAAAAAATACAGAGTACTGGACCCCACCCCGGAGTTTCTGATTCAGTAGGTATGGGGTGGGGCCCGAGAATTCATATTTCTAGAATTTGCTAGAACTGCAAATTCTCAGGTGACGTTGATGCTGTTGGTCCGGCTTCCACACTTTGAGAACCACTGAACAGAATGTTCCGTGAAAACACCGAGGTTTCATTGAGAAAAGAGTAATGACTTAATGGATACCCAGTGCCACATCGAGGAGACCATATGGAGAAATAGCCGGGTGACACGTTTTGTGGATGTCAGAATTTGGTCTCGTAAGCCTGTTCTCTGTGACAGCTCCTCGACCAGGGAGGTTTTCCATGGATCGGAGATGATTTCTTTTAGTTTTAAGATGATGATGATGAATGTGAAGTGTCTCAACGTCTCACTTCTAAGGCCCAAACAGTGTGAGGAAAGTGAGATGTCAGTTGTTGGCACGGGATAATCTTCACTGTCCCTGTCCACGCAGAGAGCCACCTCCATGTGACCCGCATGCCAGCCGGTGTGAACAGGGCAGAGAACCTAGGGGGCAGGTGTCTTCAGTCCCTGTTCAAGCACTGAGTGTATCACCAGAATCCGTGGCCCTAAGGGAAGCCTAATGTATTTCAAACTGTAGTTCAGCTGGCCTGGCACAGCGTAACTGAGCGCGGTCGGGAAAATGGGGCCTGATATAGGCTTCGGCCTGGAAGCTTCGCTTTGGGGAATTTGTTCTGCAGACGCACTTGTGGCTGAATGAAAGGCCGGGACAGGGTTCTGTGCAGAGCATTGGAGTCAACCCACGTGCTCGGCAGGAGGGACTGAGAGGCAGAGCAACGGCGCACATCCCCAGCGGCTGGGAAAGCAGGCGCGTCTGTGAAGCCGTGAGCGGGTCTGCGGGCGCATTGGGCAAAGGAAGAGCGTCCAGAGGGCTGCCTTTCCCTGTATGAAAAGGAGCACGAGAAGGTTGTGCACTTCGATTTGCTCCTGTCCGTAGAGAGGCCGCCTGTTCTGACTGGGAGCGGCAGGGGTGAGGGGTGGAAGGAAACACGCAGCTCTTTGGTGTCTGAGCTGAGTTGCTATATACTCTTTCAAAAACTGGACCTTACAAACGGGGGCTGGATACAGACTCCCAGGGTGAACTGGAAAGGGAGGGCTGTTCGCACTGGAACAAGGCAGCTCTGTGGTCACTGCTTCCGGCTCTCGGCCCCAGGTCCCCAGCTGGACAGTGTGACGTGGCTGTCTCTCTGGCCTCTTAAACTCCACGTGGCCAGAGTCTCTTGAAGTGCAGTCGAGCTCTGCTTCCTGTGGCCTTTCCCTCCCTCGTTCTTGTCGCTGGCATCCCTGTCCACCGATGACCCGCAGCAGAGGCAGGGCCGCCTCCGCGCATGCCCCGTCCTCCTCTCCAGTCCTCTCGTCCGTCCCCTGCGGGAGGCGGGCATCAGCTTCTGTTACTTCCCGTCGGGCCCCTGTCCCCCTCCAGCCGCCACGGTCGTATTTCCGATGCTGACGCCCACCTGAGCGGGGTTTGGCGTTTCCTCTGCCTCCAGACCGCCTCCCTTCTTCAAGCCGTGCAGGCCTGAAGTGTTGCTTTCATCACGAGGTCCAGGATCTCGGACTTTGTTACAAAATATTGCATCAACAACCTCTGCGATCTGGCCTTTCTGGGATCTTGCCCTGTTTGCTTGACCCTCAGACATAAAGTGTGGTCCGTGCACCACCCTGCAACTTGGTCTTTGTTTTCGGTCCCCCTGTACCTGCTCGGGGCTCCCTGTCAGGACATTTCTGGGCCCTGTCCAGTGTCAGGATTGAAGTCAAGAGCGACAGGAAACCCAGCACGACAGAGGCTTACACAAGACAGTCTCCGTTTCTCTTGTGTGACAAATGCAGGGATGGACAGTCGGGGGCATTTCACAGTCAGTAGGATTGGGCGCCTTATAACTTGCCGCTGCCTCCTCATCTTGGGGCTTCAGCGTCGTGGTCCGAGATGACCATTGGTGTTCCAGCTGTCAGAGGCATTCCGGCCACCAGGATGGGTGAAGGAGCACGAGAGGCGTGCCCCCTTTGGGACACTTTGTGGTTGTCGAGCAGCTTGGGCCAGAGACAGCTATGTGGCCAGCCCTAACTGCAGGGGAGGCTGGAAAACGTTCTATTTCTGTTGACCATGTACCCAGCTAAAACTCTGCCTTCTGCCTCTGGGGTCAAAAACAGCACCTGTTGCCATCCATCATGTTCTCTGCCCCGCAGCCCGCCTCCTGTGTGCTCCCACTTCCCCTGCGCATGGTCAGTCCCCTGTAGTCGGCCCAGCACCGCATGGTGTTACTCAGTGCTTACTGGTGAGTGATGGCTAAGGTCATGGAAGTCCTGCTTTATCCCTCAGGCTGAGCTCTCTCACAGAAAGAGCACACATTTAAAAAACAACTTGACGGGCGCCTGGCTGGCTTAGTCGGTTAAGCGTCCGACTTTCGCTTAGGTCATCATCTCGGGGTTCGTGGGTTCGAGCCCTGCGTCGGGCTCTGTGCTGACTGCCAGCTCAGAGCCTGGAGCCTGTTTGGGAGTCTGTGACTCCCTCTCTCTCTGACCCTCCCCTGCTCACGCTGTCTCTCTCTCTCTCTCCTAGAAATAAATAAAACATTAAAAAAATAAATAAATAAAAAATAAAGAACTACTTGACAAAGAATTTGGATAATTCAAGGCCAAGATCGGAAACACTCTTTAAGGAGAACCAGAATGGCTTGGTGATAGGCCAGAGGGCATTGTGGTTTGTGGTTTTGCTCCAAATATCTGTTTTTACCTCTGAACATAAGCTAAAAGTAGTGTTTTGAGGTCTTCTTGGAAATGCAGTTTATTGTGACCTTTCATGGAAAATTAAGGTTCTCAGATCCTAAATTAAGAAACAATTTAGCTTCAACATCGAGTTAAGCCTGAGCAGGTTTGGGCGTTTGAAAGTAATGTCTTCACCTCCCGTCTGCCCAGCTCATAAAGGATGTGCGATGTACATGCCTGATTTCAGAAGCCATACGTGAAGATGCATCCTTTCCACGGTAATCCCATCAGAGGGAGAGGCTGACACTTGGGCCTAACGCTGTGGAATTTGTTAGAATCTATTTTACACTGTACCTTGGACAGCACTTTTATAAAGGAGGAGGACATATATGTCTTAAAATTTTTCCCTCGGTTTGTTAATATTTTGATTTATGCAATTCCTTACAGTTGTACAGCTAGTGGCTGTGATCAGAAATTTAACACAAAATCAAACTTGAAGAAACATTTTGAACGCAAGCATGAGAATCAGCAAAAACAATATGTAGTAAGTATGAATGATTTTCTATGCTTCCACCGTCTGCGTAGTTTGATGCTTATTGTCTAATATCCTTAAAGTGCCCATCAGCCAGATTCTGTCTATCGGATACCTGAATTTGGCCCGACTACTAGCTATCATAATAATGGCTTATTTTGAAAGCGTACTTTCTTGTGTGTATGCTAATGAAGTTTATGATGGTAGACCGCCCCCAAATGGGACAGTTTTGCTGTGTCAGATATGTTCATCTTGAAAGCTTCCTGGCATAGACTCTGACTGTCGCTCAGTGGGAGCAAGGAGCGAATATAAATCGTCACGGTGTGTTTATCTTGAGGGACTTCTCTTGTGAACTGTTCTTTGATCTGTCTGAGGACTCATGAACCTTTATCCAACAGTGCACTTTTGAAGGGTGTGAGAAGGCCTTCAAGAAGCACCAGCAGCTGAGAGCCCACCAGTGCCAGCACACTAATGAACCACTGTTCAAGTAGGTGCTTCACGTGGGCGAGGCCTCTCGTATTTCAGGTGGGGGGAAGGTCGACGTGCAGGGGCTCCGGGGGGCTCAGTCGATTAAACGTCCGACTCTTGAGTTCAGCTCAGGTCATGATCTCATGGTTCCTCATGGTTCAGGAGTTTGAGCCCGTCCAGGGCTCCATGCAGAGAGTGCAGAGCCCGCTTGGGATTCTCTCTCTCTCTCTGGCCCTCCTCAGCTCATGCAAGCATTCTCACTCTTTCTCAAAATTAAAAAAAAAAAAAAAAAGATTGAAATGCAGAGGTTGGATGCAAGTGTTCTGAAGCTATGTCTTAACATCGCTCTATATGGTGAGTGGCCGTATATATATGGGGGCATTTCAGGAGTTTGATTTTGCTTTTCTTTTCTAAAGGAAACAGCTGATGTGTTTCAGAAGGATTTCTGAGATTAGTACAGTGTGGCAAAGCTTGAGCGGGGAGCTGAGAAATGACGTTATTCATATGCCATGTCATTCTGCAGACACAAAGCAGCCCCTTCCTCCAGAGCAAGAGCGGCCGGGCCTGTCGGCTTGCATTCGAGAGGCCTTCAGGGGGGACAGGGACGGTGGCCGGACACACGGGGGTGGACTTGGAGAGGGCGCAAGGAGCCCCGGCCGCCTGCTCCGCTGTGGCCTTGACGACACGGGCTGGCGACCACGCGTCCCCACGGTGCTTCTGGCCCACGGGGTGGGGGGAGGGGAGGGCGGCCGCGCTTTGCCCGGAGTCACCACAGGGCCGGGGCCGTCCTTGCCGGAGGTGGGACGTGCGGGCCCCCGACACTGCTTGCCCGCCATGCCGTCCCTGGGCCGCAGCCGTGGAGACCCGCAGCGCAGGTGCCGCAGGGGTCTGCCTCGGCCGTCTCGCTGTCACTGCGAACAGTGTCTTTTCAGACGTATTGAGATGAAAACTATTTGATCTGATCACATGCAAAAAAAAAAAAAAAAAAAGCCAGTCCTGGCACTTTTCTCTCAGTATGTCTGGTCTCCAGGCTGGTCCAGTCCCTTGAACTTCACCTGTGATTCAGTCTCAGTTGGCTTGGTTGTGGGGTGAGCCTTGGGTAGCCGGAAGGGACAGTCACGCGCGCCCCCCCCCCCCCCAGCGGATGCTGCACAGAGACGGATCGGCTCACGTGTCGTGTGTCGTTCACGCAGGTGTGCCCACGAGGGATGCGGGAAGCACTTCGCCTCCCCCAGCAGGCTGAAGAGACACGGGAAGGTCCACGAGGGTGCGTACGGCCGGCCCTGGTGGCGCCAGCTCTGAGGGGACACTCAGCGTGTGTCGGTCTAATTCCTGGCCCGCAGAGTGCGTGCTGTTCTGCTCCACGGCCGTGCTGAGAATCGCGACACTGTCTAGGCGGGGGCAGCACGCTGGCCGTGTGTCGAGGTGTCAGACTCCCGACTGGGCCCTGTGTGTCGTCTGTTATCGCACTCCCCCCACCCCCTCCCCCTGTTGCCACCCAGGGCGAGCGCCTTGGCACCTGCCGCAGGGGCCTGGCCGGTGTCCTGCCCGAGCGTCAGCATTCCCGCCAAGCTTGGCTTCGTCACCACCATCGAAAGGCCATTCTCCTTCCTGGCGCTCGCGGGGCTGGGCGGGCGGTGTGGGGTTCTGGCGGAATCGGCCCGTGACTTTGCTCAGAAAGACTAGATTACGTTACTTGACTCTGTTCTCTGTTCCAGTGAGGGATTTTTGTATCTGTCTTCCAGTTTTCTGAGTACAGAGTATGGTTCTGGTTTTTTAAACCAGAGACCCGTAGCTGAAGGCCGAGCCTCGTTCCCTCGAGTTTCACTCTGGCATCTGGTTGCTGAAGTCCAGGTGGGCCGGTGCACTGCCTGGTTCTTCACTTCCGGAGCTCTGCACCGTGTCCGTCCTGGTCCGCAGGACCACCTGTTCCTTCTGGTTCTTAGGTCCTCCCGTAGCTGCACCCCGGGTCTCTCGTGCAGGGCGGAACCTACCAGAGGCTAAGACCTGAGGAGGCCGGGGCGGGCACACAACCACCGAGACTTCGTGCTGGTGGTTCGCCGAACCCAGAGGACCCCAGGGCTCTTACACTGAGGGAATCCAGAAGCAAGCAGGAAGCAGGGAGGGAAGGGGCTGCGGGCCAGCGGCGGGGGAGTGACAGTGGCCAGAGCCCCCATGTGGGCCGCCCAGCCTACCAACCACCGCGGGGGAGGGCGCCGCATTCTTCCGCGGAGGCTGCTCGGTGGAACCCTGTGCGCAGTGAGCACCTTGCTAGTGCTCATTATTTGGCTTTACTGTCAAACAGAACTTCCTTAGTGTTCGTTCCACCACTAGAGGCTAACAGCAGAAGGTTCTTGGGAGGTTGGAGGGCAGTGCTGTCGGCTTGTAAGCTTCCTTTCTGATTACAGTTGGTGTCCACACCGAATATTCACAAAGGGCAACGCGCTGATCTGTTTCTCCCGAAACAGGCTATATGTGTCAAAAAGGATGTTCCTTTGTGGCAAAAACATGGACGGAGCTTCTAAAACACGTGAGGGAGAGCCATAAAGGTAAGGCAGACGCGCACGGCGCCGTGTCAGCTTTGCCTCTGCGGTTTTGAGGAGGGAAGTACTCGCGTGTGCCCTAAAACATAGGCCTTTCTGTGACGCGCCGGTCCCTCCGCCGCCGTCGGGCAGCTGCGCACGGGGAGCCGTGGGCCCGGGTCGGCGGGGCCGCGTGGGGAGCCGCGGCGGCGGTCAGGGGTGGGAGCTCTGGGGGACGGTTCGGGAGGCGGTGGCCCAGGTGCTGGAGGACAGGGAGGGACACGGGTCTGCTCTGACTTCCCCCTCGCCCGCGGCCGCCATGTGGGGACCCCCGCTCCCCGGGCAGGGCACGGAAGGGCCTGATGCCATACGGGGCCTGGGGGACCTGGACGGACTTCCGGACAGTAAGAACCGTGCTGGCCTTCTGGTGTGTGATCATCAGGACCTTTGTGGCCTCAAATCCATCACTCGCAGCCCCCGTGGGACGTTTTCCTGCGTGGCCAGCCCCGGGGGGCCTGGCTAATGTGTCTGTCTGCCCCGCCAGAGCCTGTAAGGTGCGAAGTGTGCCAGAAGACGTTCAAGCGCAAGGATCACCTGAAGCAGCACGTGAAAGCGCACGCCCCGGCGCGGGAGGTGTGCCGGTGCCCCAGGGAGGGCTGCGGGAGGGCCTACACCACGGTCTTCAATCTCCAGAGCCACATTCTCTCCTTCCACGAGGAAAGGCGCCCCTTTACCTGTGAGCACCCTGGCTGCGGCAGAACGTTTGCGATGAAGGTAAGGCCTGGCCTCACGGAGGCAGTCCTTTAGACGTGCGGCCTCGCGTGGGGTTCCCGGGAGGCCCGGGTCCCAAGGCGCTGTCCCAGAGCGTGCGGAGGGGGGAGCGCGCTAGCCCGGGCTTTGCACTCCTGCTTCCGCAGCACCGGTTCTCAAGTCCGCACAGCAACCCGATCTGCCGATGCAGCGGTTCTCCAGTGGGGCCCTTGGCCCAGGGCAGCAGCATCACCACAGAACTTGCTAGAAATGCAGACCCGTAGCCCCCCCCCCCCCCCACTACTGAATCAGAGACCCGGTCCTTTGTGTTTTAACAAATCTTCTGGGTGATTCCTACGTTACCTAATTTGAGAACCAGTGGCTTTTAGTGGTACCACAAGAGCAGGCTGCTGTCCGGGTGCCCCTGAGACCCCCATCTGGGGACTGCGAGGACTGGGGTCTGGTCTAGATCCTGCTGTGGTGTGGGCGGGTGAGAACGCGACACTCCATGGGGGCCGTCAGTTCTGCGGACTCTGGCTGGTGCTCTCCCAGGCGCCATGGGGCGGGCGCAGCGGGGGTGCGGGCCGTTAGCCAGCGGCTCCGAGCTGCCCGTGGTCCTCACTGCTGTCATCCAGGACAGCGGGACCCGTCAGGTTTCCACTGGTGTCTGGGAAGGCCACGGACTAGTCAGTTACAGGAATGGCTCACCCTCAGCTGGTTCCCTCCCCTCAGGAGCAGCTGCGGTGCCCCCGGGGGTGAGACCGTGTGACTCCCTCACCGGCCCCCCTGTGGGAGAGGCAGTGACAGGTCTAGGGTGCGAGGGGGACTCTGCCCTGGTGGGAGAGCCTTTAAGCGGAGGGCGGGTCCCCCAACTGTGTAACAGAGACAGGGGTGAGGGTTTATTTAAATAACTCATGAGGTTTTGTATTAAAAGGCACCAAAATTGCAGCTTTAAAAATACCACCTTTTCTTTCTCCCCTGTTGCAGCAGAGTCTCAGCAGGCATGCCGTGGTGCACGACCCCGACAAGAAGAAAATGAAGCTCAAGGTAAGTGAAGTGCGGCGCGCTGTGAGCGAGAGAATATTAAACCGAGAGTGCCCCAGCGAGGAAAGCGATCGCTGGACGTCACTTTCTCATAAAGGGGTGCAAGTGGTGCTGGGGGCCCTCAGGGGCGGGCAGTATCCCGAGTTCTCACTGTCCTGCTCTCTCATTTCCAAAGGTGAGACGATCTCGCGAGAAACGGAGTTTGGCCTCCCGTCTCAGTGGATACATTCCTCCTAAAAAGAAGCAAGGACAGAGCTCGTCCCTGCCTGAAAACGGAGAGTCACCGGGCTGCACCAATGACCGCGTGCTCTCGACGGTGGCAGTGCTTACCCCCAGCTGAGCGCCAGGTCGCCTGGTCCAAAGGACGACACACCAGCCAGTTACCTCCTCTCAGAGGCACATTTCTCTTTATTAAAATCACGGATGCACAACATCGGATTCTCTGTCTTTTCTGTTCTCTTTGTTCAGAGTGTCCTCTTTTGGGGTCCCGTGAGCCTCTCTGTACGCATGCTCTTCCTTTTTGCTCAGAGGACGCAGAACACACATTACGGCCCGCCCTCCCCTAACAGGCTGTGGCCGGGTCGAGAAGGTGGCTATTCCGGGCACGGTTTGGAGTATCTGATGACACATCTCCTCCTAGAAAGGGAGAACGGCCAAAAATCAATTTCAGCCCACAGTCTTCGCTTCTTTCTAGTGCTAATGCGCTAATACCCATCCAAATCTGCATTCTTGGATTGCTGTTATTTAAGCGATTCACTAAATCAAATGTGCCTTTCTGGTTAAGCTCGTACGATAACCAGGCAGTTTCACAAACTCCATGTAACTACACTAATGCACGAAAAGTCGACAGTTGAAAATCCCCACTCGTCAGTGGCACCGAGGGGCCATGCTTGGCTCCAACTACCCTCTCGGAGAAAAGAAGTACAAAGCAGTGGGTGGCGCATCGGCGGAGGACCTCCTTGTCCCCAAACTGTCAGCCCTGTGGGTTCCTAACACTCGTCAGCAGAGTCACTTGGGGTGAGTCGAAAAACACACTGAGTTCTCTAGAGACGCAGGGTCAGCCGGGCTGGGTCCCACGTCTCAGTGATCCCAGCGGAAGGAGGGTAGAAACCACTGGACTTTCGGCTGCTGAGTTCACGGACTCTAGAAGCGAGTGGATCTTCTGTAAGCTTACCCTGGGAGTGTAAACTGACACTTTTCAGAAAGCCCGTTTAACTTTATCTATAAGAATTCTCAGAGGCATTTATAAACCAGAAACAGACTGAAAAAATGAATCTCTGTTTTTCTGTTTGAACGTTAGGTGCTGTAAAAGAAAATTTGTAAAAGAAGAGGCTACATTACTCTTAAAATTACGAAGTGCAATGTTTTCACATGACAAAATAATTGTTTCAATGGAAAAAGTACGTGCAGCATATGCTTCCATTGTGAAGAACGGATTGGAAAGCTACTGCCGGCACTGGGTAGAATTTGCCAGTTCCTTTTCTTTGCCTTTATCTTCTCCAGATTTTCTACAACCTTATTTTTAGAGCAGAAAACAAGACGTGCAATTACTCCTGCCTGCTTTTACTTACCATTTTATTTTCCGGCTCCTCGACGTTCTTCCCTTTCTTTATGGTAATTTGAACTTTGTATTTCTTCTCAAGCCACTGCTGAATCTGTTTACTCTTTGTGTCCAAATCATGTCGTCCGATATTTGAAGAAAAAGTTAGTTCCTTTGTCAGCGTAGGCACTAGTGTAAAAGAGAGACCTGGTGACGGGACTGCTCACCAGTCCCTTCGGGGACCTGAGCTGGGTCACGCACACTTCGGAGATGTCCGGTTGCCTCAGGGGCCCGGATGCTCCTCTCGCCTGACTTTGTTTCACGGACCAGGAAACACTTTTTTAAATAAGGAAAATAGATAGACATAAAAGTACCAATTTTTACCTATTAATAATTTAGATATGAAATGCTCCCATTTATTACCCTCATTTGATGAAAGTACAAAAGAATGGTCCTTTTAAAGGAACAAGTTTAGCTTCACAATAAACTTAGCCTTTTTCTTTCTGACTGGAGCAGCGTTTAGGAAGTAGTCTTAAAAAACACTTTTTTTGGGGCGCCTGGGTGGCTTAGTCGGTTAAGCGTCCTACTTTCGCTTAGGTCATGATCTCGCGGTTCGTGGGTTCGAGCCCCGCGTCGGGCTCTGTGCTGACTACCGGCTCAGAGCTTGGAGCCTATTTCAGAGTCTGTGTCTCCCTCTCTCTCTGACTCTCCCCTGCTCACGCTGTCTCTCTCTCTCTCCTAGAAATAAATAAAAATATTAAAAAAAAAAAAAAACAAACACTTTTTTTGTTTACTTTTGAGAGAGACAGTGTGAACCAGGGAGGGTCAGAGAGAGAGGGAGACACAGAATCTGAAACAGGCCCCAGTCTAGGAGCTGTCAGCACAGAGCCTGACGCGGGGCTCAAACCCATGAACTGTGAGATCATGACGTGAGCCGAAGTTGGACGCTCACCCAACTGAGCCAGCCACCCAGCTGCCCCTGGGAAGTAAGTACTCCTCTCATCTGACTCCTTTAGTGGTGCCCTTCTAGTGACAGTGGGGTCACCCAGACTGCATCAGACGAGAGGGAGTTCTTGACATGCTGTATCCAGCAACGGAAATCCTGACTCAGAAAATTACAGGGAAGGAACAGATTCCCTAGTAAAAGTGATGGGACACTTCAGAGTATTCATATGGGGGGAAAGTTAGGTTTCAACCCACACAACAATCACCTGAGGAGCACTGACTGACTGCACGTGAAAAAAAACTTTAAAATAGAAGAAAAGAATGGATATACTTGTGACCTCAGGATAGAAGGATTTTGTCAAGGGGCGCCTGGGTGGCTCAGTCGGTTGAGCCTCCCCACTTTGGACTTCGGCTCAGGTCATGACCTCATGGTTTGTGAGTTCAAGCCCCGCATCGAGTTCTGTGCTGACGGCTCAGAACCTGGAGCCTGCTTGGGATACTGTCTCCCCGCCTCTCTGTCCCTCCCTTGTTCACACTCTCTCTCTAAAAAGTAAACTTTTTTAAAAAGACGGATGTTGTTAAAAAATTGGTAATTGCCTCTATCAAAGACACTATGGTGTAATTCTGAAAAGTGCAAGAAAAAGAAATCTAACTAGGATAACGTATTTTGCGTCACCCAGAGAACCTTACAAATTGAAGGGGGCGGGGGCGGGAGTGGGGGTGGGACCATGCGAGTAGAGGAAAAGGGACCATAAATAGGCAATTCACAGAAGAGGCAACTCAAATGGGGAATGAAGTACAAATGCGTAATAAGACCGGGTTTCTCACCCATTAGCGTGACAAAGCCTGGATGGGAGAACCCAGTGTGGTGAGGGCGCACAGGAAGGAATGTCATACTTGCTGACAATTTGCCCCATGGACTCTGACAGACCTGTTCTCTGGTCCCAGGATGAAAGGCTGGAAACAAGCCCAGGGTCTATGGAAAGGCACTAACAAATCCACGGTATATGGATATTCTCAGGATTCCATTTAGGGATTCCAGTAAGTTAGCTGCGGCTGTTATATAAGCATAGCTTCGGAAAACAGCACGACGTGACTGTCATGTGCACGAGACCACGCTCGATACCGTGTTACGTAACCGAAGTTTAACAACGCAGCTCCACGCCCGTGTCCATGGCAGTGGGGAGGGAGGACTTCAACTTTCCTGTAATGTCGTACTTTGTTCAGAAATCTGAAGTACAACAAAGTTAACGCTTGTCCATTGTGGACGGTGGGTAACAGGTGTTTCTATTTCCCTGTCTGCTTTCTAGTTCCCCAGGGAAATTTTTCTAGAAAAACTCCTTGGATGAACACCCCCTGGCTGCCTCTAAGCTCCTGCAGCTGCTCCTATGTCTCTATCAGAACAGAATAATGCCTTTACCGCCTTCGGCCCCCATCTCTGCAAACAGCAACGCGTCTTCTCCGAGCTTCTCGGGGCTGCTCCCTGTTTTCTCTGCGATGCAGTTTGACACCCTCCCCACCCCGGCTGGCCTATTCTGAAGATGGTTTCTTTTCCGGCCAGTACTTGTTGAATGTGGTGCTACAAAACCGAGCCACGGAGAGCGCGTGCCTTTCCTGAGACACGTGACCTCATGGTGGCAGCTCTGGGACTGTCTGTTGCCCCCACCCCCGGGGCGTTTTCCGTAACACAGTCTTTCGTCAGGATCAGCACTTATTAGGAATCATGAGAATTTTCACCCCATTTCTAGGTCGTGGCTCCACAGACATAAAAGACAAGGGCGTGCAAGTGTGTCTACGAGCGTGACTACCATCAGGGCGTGCGGGGCACTCCATGAACCGCCTCGGACACGGGCAAGTGCTTCCAGAAAGCTGGCCGGGCACGAGGGGGAAGGAGGGGGACGTGGACTCGGTTCCGCCTCTTCCGAGGCTCATCTCCTTCTGGCTGCCAGCGGCCTTGCCACCCCCGGATCAGACCCAGAGGAAAAGAGGTCCCGTCATTTTGGGGGGCCTCCCTGGTTTCCCCCTCACTGTATCCAGGCCTCGAGCAAGAGGAGCAGACCACGGGGCATCAAGGACAAAAGACCAGAAGAGGGACGGAAAGGAAGCGAGAGCTGGAGACAGGTGTGGGCAGCGGCGGGGAGACCGTGAACTTCCCCGCTGCCCGCAGCCCCGCAGTCGTGAGGCCCCAGCCGCTGGTCTGTGGCCCCAAGGGCTCAGGGAGCCAGCAGCAGGCCACCTACCGGGTTTCGGGTGGGCCTTCTCCGACTCCCGAAGCCGCAGGCGCTCCTCGTGAATCTGCACCCCCGTCAGCAGCTGGTACTGCGGGGGCTGCGCGCCGCTGTCCCTTTTCACGAGCCTCAGGTCGCGCTCGTTCATGAGCCGGATCACGTCTGCTCGGTGCATGTGCCCCAAGTCGTTGCCGGCCTCATCCAGCACGTGGATAACTCGCTCGTGAATCTTCCTTCCGATGTTGCTGAAGTCTGAGTCATTCTTCTTTTTCTTCTTCCTTTCGTCCTGGGCGTCCGCCACGGTGCCGAGAGCTTCTGTGTGAATCGGGCAGGACGGCGTGGGGACAGAGGCTCTGGGGGACGGCAGCGCTGGTGCGGTCCTGTGCAGGGCGTATGTACCAAGACGTGTGACGCAGTTATTCTCCGTCTTCACGGTTTGTAACATCAGCCTCCTTAGGAGAAGAGCGGCCATCCTAAAAAGCAGGGAGAGAGGTGTGTTACGCTTCAGTCATTTCATCCCCGTGGCTGGATACCGTGGCACGTGGAGCGCGTGTGTGAGGCTGCAGGTCACCTGTAAACCTTGTGGATCCATGCGTGGGAAATTTACACCAACGACACGGGCTACCAGGCGACTGCAGTCGCACCGAGTCCTGGTGGTACCGTCTCCAGAGCAAGTTACGGTCAGAAGGAGCCATGTTTGCACAGTGCTTTCGTCTTCCATCGTTTCTTCCCCCATTACTACCTCCTTTGATCTCTTTCCCAAGGATCTCCTAGTGCCGGCTCCGAAAGCCAGTATCATCCTACAGGTTTATTTAGGAGAATGCGGTACATAAAGTCCTTGGAGATGCATAAACACCGATTTATTAATTTCTAAGGCGACCAGCGGTTGACAACTTGTCATCAGTGTGTCTGGTGACAAGAAAGAAGGCTAAGGCGCTATTCTGGGAAAGCAGGGAGCACGAACGGAGACGCTCGGAAAGGAAAGCTCCCGACAGGAATCAAAGTGCCGTCCTCGTACACAGAACGGGTGGCTCACAAGGTGAGGCGTTACGACCAGGCGCTCACCAAGCGTCAGACACGCGTGGTGCTGGTTTACTGCATGGGAATAACCACTGCTCTTATGAGCGGCATTCTGACTTCTGACTTGCTTCTCTCCCCCAGCACGTGGCTCTCCCCTTCTACTCGCACGTTAGGCAGAGCCTAGAGGTGCAGGCTGGGGGAGGGATGAGAGGACCCACTCGTGTCATCTGGGGTTTGCTGAGCAGCACAGGAACACAGGGAGGTGGCCCTGTCCATGACGAAGAGAGGACGCGGAGCCTTCAGCAGTGCTTCTCAAAGAACGGTCCCCGGGTCCCTGCATGAGCCACCTGGGTGTTCGCTACGACTGGAAGTTCCCTCTGGCCGCTAGCTCTGACCTCACTGGGCCGCACCACCACCGATCCCACCCCTCCCACCACCCCTCAGGTGACGAGTGATATGGGGAAAAAAAAAAGAAAGACAGTAAACTGGATGGAACGTGAAGGAACGCACACAATCCCGCTCTGTCCTTGCCCAGCTGGGGAACGCCTGCATTTACTGCGCTGGCTCCGGCCTCTCTCCTGAGTCCCAGACTTGAGCGTTGACTGCGGCCCAACCAGTCCACTTAGATGTCTCACATGTCCACCCCCGAACTCTCCCTCTTCCGCCTGCGCTGGCTCCTTGTCTTCCCTACCTCGTATAAAGACCACGTGCCCCTCCGGCCGCTCAAGGCCCCAAAGAGCAAAGTTATCCTTCCCTGTCCTTTATCTCTTCGCGATTCATCAGTCCCTCGCTGTTTAGCCTCTAAAGTCGCGCGGGACCCAAGCACTCCTCACCTCCCGCGCTGTCACCCCGCTCCACAACTATCATCCTGTCCCCTGCTTTACATCATGGCCTCCTCTCCTTTTCTGCCCTTACCCCCTATAATCCCTCACCCACGGGGCACACAGCGACCCATTTACAATGCACTTGGCAGATGACGCCTCTCCCCTGCTCGTAATCCTCCACTGGCTTTCATCTCCCGAGGGCTATCAGCCAAGCCCACCAAGGGGCCTACGGTGCCCCCCCGTCCCGCCCACAGCACCTGCCCCGCCTCCTGGGCTCTGTGCCAGCCTCACCGGGCTCTGGACCCAGGTAGCCTGGTAGCTCCCTTCCCTCACACAGCAGAGGGCCCGGCTGGGGGGTTCCTGCCCAGCGTGGCCTCCCCGTCCACTCTGTAGAGTACTGCACGCTCCACTGCTCTCAAAGCCATGACCCTGCCTTTAAAAAACCCCACCGCCCAATACACTGTATATTTATTTGCGCACATGTTCATCATCTTTCCTCGCTAGGATGCAAGCTTCGTGAGAAAACCTGATCGTGCATTCTGTTTGCCGCTGCGTTCCTAACGCTACAGCCTAGAGCCCAGCTCGGCAGGGATGTGCTGAGTGAATGAGACCAAGGAAACCGCTGCGAGGGGGGCGGGGCTGCCGGCATCCGACACCTGTCCTGCATCATTCCCTCCCAGTGTGCGCACAGGCGGGTGAACCCCGGGGTCACATTCCGGCTGGCACGTCCCATGTCCGCTGAGCTGAGGAAGATCTGCGCCAGACGGTCCCCCCCAGGGAATGGGATGCAGTCACTCTCTGTCATTACGTGGTGGCTGGAAGCTCCGCTGTACTTGTGCTAAAGGCTCTAAGACGGGAGCAAACTGGATTTTAAATAGCTGCGATAGTGCTGTTTCACCAAAAAGCTGGGTATTTTTCAGTGGAGGAAGCCCCCAAACCAAAAAAAAACAGGGCGGTCTGAAGAGACCAGAGACGACTTGTTTTTCCACTTATCGGCAGAAAAACAGCAGCGGCACCAACTGTGCAGTGAGTTGGGGTGGCTCTAGCGTTAACGGGCGGGAGCGGACCCGTCCTGTGTAATGGATTCTCGACACAGTAAAGCAGATGATATCATTTCAAAACGGAGGCAAATAAATAACAGGCAGGGCACAGGAAAAAAGAGGAAAAGAAATCTATGGAAACCCTGGTCGTCTGTGGTTGAAGATACAAATGATGGTTTTGCTCCCATCCTTCTTACCATTTTTTCTCAATCTTTTACAGGGAAGAAGCCTTTCTATTCTTACAGGGAAGAAGAATAGGCTCCACGCCCAAGGTGGGGCTTGAACTTACAACCCTGAGATCCAGAGTCACATGCTCTACCCACTGAGTCAGCCAGGAGCCCCTGTAAGAAGTATTTTTTATACTAGCACATTTATTTACAAATTAAAGACTATTTCTGAATAATGTTGGCAAAAAACTTTTTAAGGCTTCAAAAAACACTTTCCAAGAGGAGGAAAAGGTAAAGAGCGGAAAAATACCACAACTATGTTTTTCTTTAAGTTCTTTACCATTACTTAAATTTTAAAAAGTTTTAAGTTTCCTTGATTTCCACAGCAATTAAGCTCCAATACTGGCTCAATTTTGGCTTTATGTCAGCAAAGCTGAACGCGTACATACTTCCTTCAAAATAAGCTTTTCATAGATAAAAATATAAATACACAGTTAAGAAAAAAGCTGTGAGATCACGAAATCTGAACTGCAAATACCAACTTACATTCAAATAGTTAAAAAACTTCCCACTAGGAAAAGTTTCAAACATGTACTGGAAAAATCACATAGTAAAACCCTAAGCATCCTTCATGCAGCTTCATAATGAATAGTGTGTGGCCAAACTGCTTCCTCTCTCCCTCAGCAATTCCCTCCACCCCCCTCACCGCCAGCCGCCATGAACTATTTCAAGGTAAATCCTATCTTGCCAACAAATATTTCAGTATGTTATCTCTAGGAGGTTAGGACTCTTTTATCTGTTTTTTAACTTTATTTTAGAGAGGGGCACCTGGGTGGCTCAGTCATTTAAGCACCTGACTTCAGCTCGGGTCATGATCTCATGGCTCGTGAGTTGGAACCCCACGTCGGGCTCTGTGCTGACAGCTCAGAGCCTGGAGCCTGTCATTGGATTCTGTGTCTCCCTCTCTCTCTGCCCCTCCCCTGCTCACAGTCTGTGTGTGTGTCTCTCTCAAAAAATAAACATGAAAAAATTATTTTAGAGAGACAGAGAAGTGCAAGCAGGGGAGGGAGAGAGTGGGTGGGGGAGAGAATATCTTAAGCAGACTCCATGTTCAGCACAGAGCCCAATGTGGGGCTCAATCCTAAGACCCTAGGATCATGACTTGAGCCAAAATCGGGAGTCAGATGCTTAACTGACTGAGCCACCTAGATGCCCTTCTTTTACCTTTTTAATAACCATGATAACATTACCCCCACTAATAATCATTCCTTCAAACATCCAGTTTTCTGATTTCCCCGGTAGTAGTATAATACTGTTTGCTGACATGTCATTCACAGGTAGGCAGCATGGAGAAACCCCCAATGGCCGAATGTGTGGTAATTTCAACGTTAAAGAATAATGGCTGAAAGTTATTTTAACACACTGAATACGCAACCATCTACCCAAAAGAAAGATCCTTTGCCAGAACTGTACGTGACCATCACCCTGACTCCTGGCTGTGAAAATCGGTCCAGAAAAAGAACTAAGCATCCATCCTACCTCTTTAGGAAGAAGTGCAGCCGGTAATCATCCCCAGTTGGTGAAGGAAAAGCTCTTCGTTAGAGGAGAATGCCGGCTAACAAATGGAGAAGAGAAGGAGTTTAGAAATCACCGTATTGCCACCTTCAGCCAAATCATGGGTTCAGGTACAAAAATCATGAGCTAAAAAGCTAATGAGGAAACAAGGTGTTCGTATGGTGCCGGGGGGGGGGCGCGGGGGGGAACGCGAAGATCACCTGCAGATGGAAATGGGGAAGACACGCTGTGGCTGTCGCCCTGCCCACCCAAAGGTCACACTCAGCATCCCCGCGCACGCCTCCTCGCACAGTGCGCCACCTGCTCGGCCCTTCTGCGGGGCGGTCCTGCCGGAAGAGCTTCAGGGACCCGGTCCGGCCTCTAGACCTAGCCTCCGGTTTCTGGGGAACACAAGGGCCGGGCTCGGAGAGGAACAAATCAGAGAGATCCAGACTGTGGGACAACTGGCTCGGTGTCTTAAAAAAAAAAAAAAGTGTTATAGGGAGTGAAGGGGGGGCCCTAATCTTGATAAAAAACACAGAGGATGGGGCGCCTGGGTGGCTTAGTCGGTTGAACGTCCGACTTTCGCTTAGGTCATGATCTTGCGGTTCGTGGGTTCGAGCCCCGCGTTGGGCTCTGTGCTGACTGCCAGCTCAGAGCCTGGAGCCTGTTTCAGTCTGTGACTCCCTCTCTCTCTGACCCTCCCCTGCTCACGCTGTCTCTCTCTCTCTCCTAGAAATAAATAAAACATTAAAAAAAAAACATTAAAAAAAAACACAGAGGAGACACGATGATAAAATACAGGGTGTTTGGAAAAAAAGCAACTAAAAAGGAACATCGAGATACAGGGGACAAGCTGGATGTGGAGGAGATTCCTGACGGACCGGATGCTATCAGAGGAGTACTGTGCATGGCCTCGTCGACAATGCCATTCTTGGGAGGGGACTCGGTTGTTTTCGGGGTAGAGTGACATCTGCCACTTAATCTGACAAGATGTGGCACAAAACATACGTGCAGTGTGGCAACACCTGCTGAATCTTCATTATGGCTACACGGGTGTTATCAGTCTCACAACTTATCTGTGTGGTTCATTTTGTTCATCATTAAAACGTTTTTACGGGCGCCGAGTGGCTCAGTCGGTTGAGCGTCTGATGTCGGCTCAGGTCATGATTTCGTGGCTCATGAGTTCGAGCCCTGCGTCGGGTAGTGCTGACAGCTCGGAGCCTGGAGCCTGCTTCGGATTCTGTGTCTCCCTCTCTCTCTGCCCTTCCCCTGCTCATGCTCTTTCTCAAAAATAAACATTAAAAAAATAATAATAAAAATAAAAAACTGAATCAGGACCCCCTCAAAACAAGACATAAGAAAATAAGTAATAAGACATTATTTCCCTATTTTTTAAAGTGTATTTATTTATTTTGAGAGAGAGACAGAGAGTGCAAGCAGGGGAGGGGCAGAGAGAGAGGGAGAGACAGAGAATCCAAAACCAGGCTCTGTACCGTCAGTACACCCCATGCAGGGCTCAAACTCATAAACTTTGAGATCACGACCTGAGCTGAAATCAGGAGTTGGACACTTAACAGACTTAGCCATCCAGGTGCCCCACTAATAAAACATTATAACATTAAGTGGGTTCACATAGTTTAAGCTCTGATGTCTGGGGCTATGAGAACAAAGTTAAGAAAACTTTCAAGGTGGATGTAAAATAGGAAGACTTGCTCTCTCGTGAGAGATTACATGTCTTTATTTGTGTGTGTGTGTGTTTTTATTTCTGAAAGAGAAAGAGACAGCATGAGCAAGGGAGGGTCAGAGAGAGAGGGAGACACAGAATTTGAAGCAGGCTCTGAGCTGTCAGCACAGACCCCGACATGGGGCTCGAACCCACAAACCGTGAGATCATGACCTGAGCTGAATGTCTTTGATACCTCTGTCAAACCAACAGTAGGCAGAATGAGCCCGTGGTCTAAATCGAAATAGAAATGCTTAGGTTCTCATGACAGTATTGGTGCATTTAGTCACTTACTTCCACAGTTATCCCTTCTGAAACATCCAAAACTTCTTTTTATTTTTTTTATTTTTTATTTATTTCTAGGAGAGAGAGACAGCGTGAGCAGGGGAGGGTCAGAGAGAGAGGGAGACACAGACTCTGAAACAGGCTCCAGGCTCTGCGCTGGCTGTCAGCACAGAGCCCAACGCGGGGCTCGAACCCATGAACCGCAAGATCACGACCCAAGTGAAAGTCGGACGCTTAACTGACTAAGTCACCCAGGCGCCCCCATCCAGAACTATTTTAAAAGCCAATGATCTTAGACTCATCTACTTAAATCACACAATTTTATAGCATGAGGTATCCATTTCTGGTCTTGTGGTAACTCGGACCTTACCGAGATCATCTATGATCCCGCACCATAGATGGGTAAATCTGCCTCTACTGGTGGTTTTTAATTGGGTAGCTGGGGTTTTAATTGGGTACATCTAGGGAAAAAAGTATTTCTTTCTTTCTTTTTTTTTTTTTGGTTCCTTATTTACTCAAGATTGGATCGCTGAAAACATATCCTGCAAGCTCTGGAGGGTAAACTGACAAGTGCCCTCAAAAAGCCCCTTCACTGCTACTAATTTCAGTCCTCTCTCCACTGCGGGACTGACTTCACCGCCATCACTAACCTGCCTGGGACCCTGGGAGAAAAACGACAGCTGCATTAGTCCAAATGCACACAACGCAGAGTAGTTTCGGTGTTTGACCCACATATTCCATAAGAAATTGAAGTGATTTTAAATATTAAGCCATAAAGCAGGGCGTTATGAAATAAACATGTGGCTACTTCCATACGCTGTGTATTTCTGATGAGCTTAGTTAGAACTGTGTTCTTTATCTTTTCACATTAGCCTGCGGTCGTTTAAATTGAGTAATATTCTTTCAGGACTATTTCCCCCGACTTTTACTATAAAAATGTTTAAACATAAAGAAAAGTTGAAAGACTGTACATTGAACACCCCAATACCCATTCATCTAGATTCCACATGCTGGTATCCTTGTTTTATTTGTCTATTTATTTCTTTTTCCATCCATTTATGTTCTGATACATTTCAAAGTAGACTGCAGACATCGGTACACTTCATCCTCAAATACTTCATTCAGCATGCATACCCTTAACTAGGGTTCAATATCTTTTTGCGATTCCTTTCACTTTGAGGCAAATGTGCACATACAATGAAATGTACAAATCTTAAGCATATCTTTTAATCAGCTTTGACAAGTACAAACACCTCGGTAACTAAAACTCCCGCCAACCTGTAGAATACTACCACCCACCACCCCAGAAAGTTCCTTCATGCCTCTTCCAAGTCAGTCTCCAACCCCATCCAGAGGCAACGACTGTTCTGGTATTTTTCCATTTTCTTGGAGACTACACATTAGAACTTTGCAATCCCTTCCTGCCTCCGCACTGCTCTCACCACACACTGTGCCCTCCCCACCTTAAAACTGCCCCAAATTACGGCCAACATCTTCCATGAGGTCAAAGGCTCTTGCCACCTCTCTAGCATGTCCTATACCAAACTTCCTATTTCTCTAAACACTGGCCGTCCAGATTCTTGAAATGCTCTTCCCTTAGGCTTAAGAAATGCCAGATCGTTGCTTAATGCTCCCTTTCTCTGGGCATTCTTCGGACTACCTTCCAAACGAAGCCCATCAGCCACCAGTCCCCTTGCCCCCTCATCTCTTTGTTGAGCTCACCATTAAATGCTTGTATAGTATAGTTTAACTTTCCTTTATAACACTTACCACAATTACAACTTTGTGATTATCTACTGCTGTTTCTCTCCTTTACTAGACAGTGGGTTCCTGAGGCTGGGAACGAATCTCAGTTATCTTTTACTATATCGTCCCTGGCCCAATAGTCGTTGACTTTACAGACAGACTCCTCCCACTCTCTGTACTTAGACTGAAGCCTTCCACGAACATGAAACCGAGGCTTTTCAGCAGGGAAGCTATTTACTTATTTCAAGAATCTTAACGGGGCGCCTGGGTGGCTCAGTCGGTGGGGTGTCCGACTTCGGCTCAGGTCATGATCTCAGGGTTCGTGGGTTCGAGCCCCGCGTTGGGCTCTGTGCTGACAGCTCAGAGCCTGGAGCTGCTTCAGATTCTGTATCTCCCTCTCTCTCTCTCTCTGACCCTCCCCTGATCATGCTGTCTCTCTCTCAAAATAAACATTAAAAAACAAACAAACCATGGAGCCTATTAAGCAGTAAGCGGGGAAAACCGACATCCCGCAGTCGCTTAGGAACCCTCCGCGGCGGCTGCAGGTAATAGAAAAGGCGTGGGGCCCCCTTTCCTGCTCCGGTACAGGGACCAGGTACTACCGCGCAGGATGCTGGGCGCTTCCGCACCACGGACCGCGGTCACGTGTCTCGGCCGCGGCCACGCCCACTCCCGGAAGTGGGGGGTGTCTCTCGGCGCGCCGCCGCCAGAGAAGGGGCGTGGGGATATGCGGGGCGCGCGTGCACGCCACGGAGGGGCGGGCCGTCCAGGGAGGAGGCCGGCGTCCAGTGTAGGTTCCGCGGTTTCCGAGTGCGGGCAGCGTTCCGGTCCCAAAGGCGGCCCTGCCGGCCGGCCGAATCCCCGGCCCCGCGGCAAGGCCTGCGGCGCCTCTCCGCGCTCCGCTCGGCGGCCGGGGCGGCACTGACCTTCCAGGGACGCGGCCGAGCGCGACGCCGCCTCCTCCGCAGGTCTGCGCCTAGGCCTCGCCCTCCTGACACAGGCCCCCCCCCCGCTCGTCGCCCCTCGCCTTTAGCTTTACCTATGCCGCGCCGACGATTGGAAGGTCTGGCGGAAGAAGCCGCGAACGGCCCTGGCGGGGTGAACCCCTTCGCCCTCCGTAGTGGGCGGGGCTTCGGCTTTTAAAGGAAAGGTGACGTAGGGAGGCGCGCCTTCCCGCTGGCGGCCCGAGGTCCTCCGACGGAAAGTGCGGCGCGCGAGGGGCGGTTCCTCCGCGGCCGCTTTTTTAATTTAACGTCGAATAAGATGTTTCATAAACGTTCTTCTAGTTCCCGTGGCTTAAAGAGCACTGTCCCCGGTGAGCAAACAGATCCGGTAAATAAAAGACGGTCTTAAGCTTCCCGAGCCCTGGGTCACCGGAGGTGGGGCCGGGGGGGGGTGTAGGATTCAATTGACGTAACCGGGAGAGCTTCCAGCAGGCCGTCGGTTTTTCGAAGGCGAAGCCGGGCCCGTGGTGGGGAAGCGGTGTGTCCGGAGTAGGTAGGGCAGAGTCCCCTCCAAAGCTGGGGTGTGTCCCGGGGGCTGCAGTACCCTCCGCCGCCGCAGTGTCGCTGTCCACTCCCTGCGCTCGCCGCGTCTTCGTCGGAAGTTCCTCAGCGACCCAGTGGGACTAAGCCTAAGCCGTCGTGATTTAGGGAGGCCACATCATTAGGGACTTTACGGTATTGGGGGCAAACTACAGGATATTACCAAATTCTCCTTAAATGATTTCTTGGATCCGATTTTACCTGCTTTATTACAGATCAAAACACTAGTTCAGGTTTAAGTAGCTCCTCGAGAGCAGAGGCCCACGTTTCTATGTCCTCATCAAATCCCGGCGTCTGGCATGTTTTGTGCTATTTTGTTGAAATAGCGAAGTGGTAAACCCAGAAACAACTAAGCGGTGGAGGTGGCCCAGAGTCCAAGGTTAGTCTCTGCATGCCGGCCATTCCCAAGTTAAGAGTTAAGAGATTCTGTTATTCTACCAAAATTATTCCATAATACCAACGTATAAGTCTGTTTAGTGTAGAGTGACCTACTGCATACCTTGGAAATGGTAGGTGCTCAACAATTATAAATATGCACATTTATAGAATTTACTTGTGTGCCTGCCAGGCACCTTTCTAAGCGTTTTACTTCTCTCAAGTCACTTAATCCTCAAGCTTCCTACCCCATTTCACAGACGAGAGAACTGAAGACTACAGAAGTTCAGCAGTTTGCCCAAGGTCACACTAGTAGCGGACTCAAGACTAGGGACACCTGGGTTAGCTTGGTCACTTAAAAGTCTGACTTTGGCTCAGGTCATGATCTCATGGGTCGTGGGTCTGAGCCCCGAGTCAGTACAGAGCCTGCTTGAAATTCTCTTTCTCCCTCTTTCTCTGCCCTTCCCCTGCCCATGTGCTCCGTTTCCCTCTCAAAATAAATTTAAAAAATAAATAAATAAAGGAAGGCAAGCAGCCCAGAGCCAGAGTTGGTGCTCTTAATGCTAAATATTCCCTCTGCTGCTAGACTCAAGTAACGAAGCAGTAGAGTTACAAGTCTGTGAAGCTATTTGGTGAAATGCGTAAAATTGAAGCATTTCAGTACCCAAACTAAGGACTTTGAGGAAATTGTCATTTGAATGAATTCACACAAAGTAATCGTTAGTAACCAGAGCTACCTTCCAGGACCCCTTTGGTATCCCCTCTTTGAGGCATATGTCCTGAGCAGATGGTTCTGGAAGTTTTCCAGACTGTCATCATCAGGTGTCTCAAGAAGGAGGTGCTTCCAGTCTTCCTGGAAGCAGAGGAAAAGGCGCAGGTTGCAGACCTGCCCTCAAGAGAAAGTTTTTGTTTGTTTTGTTTCAAATCTCTTCTCTTAAACTCTGCTTTGACCTCCAGCTGAAATGGGGTGTGGCAGCTTTTAAAGAGTCATTGAGTCTTGGATTCAGTTTCATGGTGGCTGATTTTGAAGACCCTTGAATAATGATGGTAAAGCAGGCAAATGGCTCTTTCAGGTCCCTCCTGTATTTATGGCCTCTACTTCCTGGTTTGGGGGAAGTGTTATTATTATGCCACGAATCCTCTGTAAACCAACAGCATATGTGCATAGGACTCTCAGAAATTACACAGCTTTCCCAATTGCAATTGTTTCTACCCATAATTTACCAAAAACAAACAAACCCCACCCCAAAACATAAAAGTAACTCAATAAAACTCAACCCCAGGTGACTCTAAAACTTCTACATTTTCCTCCACAGAGTAATTTCCATGTTAATTTCCACAGTTGGTCCCCAAATGACAGTTTCTCATATACTGTGTATATTGGCGTTTTGCTCTGATAAAAGATTAAAGGCAAATTCTGCCCCTCGCTTTGAAAGTCCCCTCTCTCCACAGGCGTGGTGGAAATCTTTGGAACAGAGAGGCCCCGAGACAGTCTCAGCCTGTCAGTGAGGTGCAAAATATCTGTTCCACAGAGTAGTTCTTCTAAGGGCGATTCCTTCAAAAAGCTATTTGCACTAGGCTGTGTCTTCATCAGGCCACTGTCGCTCCAAACAATTACTTTAAGAGGCTCATCATATACTCATCAAATCCTGTGTTCATTCTGAGGTCACCAGATGAGTCATAGCCTGCGTGGCTTCCCATATTCAGGAGATTCTTCCACAACTAGTTGTTAATGGGTTACAGCTAGCATATAAATCCCCTCTGTCGTTAGACTGCAAGCTCTCATCGGGACAGTTTTGCTGAACAAGGGGAATCAAAGTCTCTTAATGTGTGAGGTCCTCCGTAGGGCCTACCAAATCAAGCTGACAGCAGTTGTCTTAAACGGCAGCGACTTTCCCATTCCATCACCTTCTTAACAGCTGAGAGGGTCCATGCTCTCCTTACTATGTTCCCAAGCTTGTCACAAGGGACATGGAAAGCAGGGTGCCCAAGGGGCTGTGGCTGAATGTGAGGGAACTCGTCAAAGACATCCTGAAGATGTCCTCAGCACTACACCATGTGGCCGCGATCACAGCACACAAACGCACAAAGCCTTTTC